GTCAAAGAGCCTTACATTTAAGGAGCTCGCTGATTTTTCTCTATTTATTTTGCAATCAGTTGAGGCTGAGGGAAGCCCTTCCTGGGATTTCATTGCTTTTGTTGAGGAAGAGAATGGAGGAGGGGGTCGTTGGGCCAAACGGAAACCCAAACAATGGGAGGAAGAGTTCGGGAGTCCATGTCAGCAGCAGTGCAGAAGCTCTGCTCCAAAGCTGGGTGGGGGACTGCTTTTAGCCTCTGAGTGAGGGTGTGTCAGGAGGTGAAAAACTCATTAGTCTGGGTGTCAGAGGACCCAGTTTTGAGGCCTGGATCTGCCACTTGCTGGCCGTATCTGGACCTCGGCAGGTCATGTGCTGTCTTAAGTCTGAGTTTGTTCACTTCTAAAGGGAAGCTCATTCTGCCTGGCCTTCCTCCCAGGGATGTTGTAAGGATTTAGAGATCCTGGGTGTGGAAGTTGCTCTGTGAAACTGTGAGGGGTGCTGTAGCCATGGAAGGTGGTAGAGGTAGCATATTGCTAGAATAGTTTACCATCTGCCTCTAGGGTCTAGCCCCCCATTCAAGGGCTGCAGTAGTACCAGTGCCCTCCCCCTCTAATGGACTCCTCTGGGGGCCCCTCTGGCATGGGTGGGGTTGTAGAGAGGTCTTTGAGGCCCCAGGGAGAGAGACTCCCGTGAAGCAGATCCCCACCTTTTGCCAGCCTACTTCCAAAGAGAATGATGAAGCACTGAGAACACTGACCGAAATCAATTAGAGAAATCAATGCCCCGGAGTGCAGTATGCACTTCTGCCCTCCTTGCCCGCTCCACCCACCCTGCCCCAGCCGGTCTGTTCACTTGGATGGTTGAGTTCAACCCCTGCTGGTCTCCATTCCCAAGCTACCTCCTTTCATTCTAGGCTGGGCTTTTGGGATGGGGTTTCCTGGAGTCACTCTGTGGGATAGAATTCGGGTGAGGGGGTCAGCCTGCTAGGGAGAGGAAGTTAGGAAGGTGGCAAGGGGCTGGGACAGAGATGGGAGAGCCTGTGTGTGTCTGATCCAAACTTAGAGTGCCGAGGTAGGCCCTGTGGAGCTGCACTGGGCTCCATAGGATCTTTTCCATTACTCCAGACTTGAACCCCAAAGATGGTCTGCGACAAGGCTCACCGTTCTTTTGACACCTGCCCCCCCCCACGCCACATACACACAGTGTTGTTGGTCACAGTTGTCTTTGTGATGTTCTGACCTGGCCCATGAACATTCGTGGCATGTAAGTTACAGCATAGGGTCCTGGATCCACAAAGCCCAAATTTGAAACCCGGTCTGCTGCTTAGAATGCTACCTCTTGCCTCAGTTTTCTCACTTGTAAAAGAGGGATCATCGTAGTACCTACCCATGGAGTTATTGTAAGAATTAAAGTAGTTCTCATACATGCACATTGCTATAAAGTTAGCTCCTTCAGTGATTTTTTTTTTCTTCCAGTGAGAAGCCTGAGATCTCGGGGCTGCTCGTTCTCTTGACTGGGCGATTCTCTGAGTGGACAACAATATACCTCCTTCCTGTCCCCTGCGTTCAATCTGTCACCACGATCCTGCTGATTCATCTTTACAGCACTTTTGACAACCGTCTCCTCCTCGCCATGCCCACTGCCACCGTCTGTTTGGGGCCCTCATTACCTCAGGCCGAGACTGTTAAAATTGCCTCCTAACTGGTCTCTTGTCTCCATCCTTCACACAGTTGTCAGATCAATCTTCCTAAAACACCATTCTCATCATGTCACTCGCCGGCTCAAAAATATCAGTGGCTCCTGGGGGATCAAGTCCAGAGCTGGAAAAGCTTGGTCCTCACGACGAATCCCAAGCAGATTTTCCAGATCTTCTCTCACCAGCACCTCCCATTCTCCACTTCCCACCAGTACCCTCAGTTGGACCGTTCCTCAAGCATTTCTTACCACCATGACTTTCCTATGCCAGTCTTCTTGCTCATAGTGCCCCCCTCTGTGGCCAGCCAGTTTTTGTCCATCCTTCTAGGCCCAGCTTGAATCTTACCTTCCCAGGTAAGCCTTCTCTGACTGCTTCCTTTTGAAATCCAATGGTATAACCGCTCCTTTATCTCATTGGCTTCATTCAGTGTGGCCTTGGGTTGTCCACTAGCTTCTCATTGTTACATGGCCCAACTTAACCCCGGGCCTGCAAGTGCAGTCCTGTTCGGTGCCACGTTCCCCATAGGCTTTGAACTGTGCTGGAACAGAGCAGGTATCCAACACATGTGTGCTGGTTGAGTGACTTGGCATGCCCTGGGTCATGGTTGCTATGTGATATCTTCTTTTATTTCCGGTGAGGTCAAGGGAGTACTCACCTCCTTTCTTCCACCAAGGAGCCTGAGTGGTATAGTGGACTTACTAGCGGGGCTGCTAACTTCAGGGTCAGCAGTTCAAAACCACCAGCCACCCCTCGGGAGAAAGACAGGCCTTTCTCCTCCCATACAGAGTTACCGTTTCAGAAATTAACAAGGATGTGTCACAGAGTATCAGGGAACTTAGGTCTTTTGTTGAGAAACAGCTCCTTCCTCTCACAACTTCCTCTTGCCAGAGTCCTTTATCTCCTAGACAACGAATGGTCCCTGTTCCCCTTGAACTGCCGTGGTTTTCCAACTCGGCTTCCTTCGCATTCATCACTTGGGTTTGATCACCTTGTCCCTGACTCCCTCTCCTGGATTTTCCATGAAAGGGGCCATAGCTAGCTGGTTTCTGAGCACTTCCCATGAGCCAGGCATTGCACTAGCTGCTCCATAGACTGCATCTCACGGAATCCCCACCACAAAGGTTACTGTTATTATTTTTTAAACCCCATTTCATAAAATCCATCGATGAGCTAACCAGGGTTCAAGGTGGATGGAATTAAATTGCCAAGATCACATGGGTAGCAGGTTGCATAACAAAAGGAATAACAATAAATATTCAGCCAACCAGAAGGTCCTGAAAGTAGACCCAGCAGAAACGTTACTTTCGGTCAGGCTCACAGCGGCTGCCTCCGGCCCTTACCTCCCCAGCATTATAATTCCTATCGCGGTCCATCCTTTACAACCATTCCCTAAGTCCTCGGATTTATGGAGTGAAGCCAGATGTGAAGTCATTTCCCAGCACGGGAGTAATCGCGGGGTGGGCAGGCAGAGGGGGCTTTCTACTGCTCTTATCCTCAGGCCCTCTGCAGCCAGGGCCTCCCCTCGCCGGTTGAGGCAGCTGGTCTAACCCAGCACCACCCAAGGTCTGACATGGGCCTGGGGCAGAGAGACTAGAGAGAGAGAGGGAGAGAGAGAGAGAGACAGAGAGAGACAGCGGTACTCTGGGCCACCAAGGCTCTGAGAAGCTGCGTTCCCGCCTAAATCCGCAAGATGGAAGTTGCTCCCTCTAGCTTTTCCACTAGAGAAGGCTGCTGGCTGCTTTAGCGAGTGACCCCTCCCTTCGCGCCCCAGTCGATTGGAAGCGTTTACTCTGTCCAGAGTCTTGTTGATTTTATATATATATAGGCATCTTTAAAGGCACTACCAAATACACCGGAGCTCCGGCCCAGGTCGATTGGAGGCCGCGCAGAAAGTTGACCAGGCCGAGTGTACGCGGCTCGCACACGGCGTGTGCGGGGCGAAGAAGCTGCAGGCAGGACCGTGCGCGCGTGCAAGCAGAGCGCCGCAGGGCAGCTCCGCTGGAACTGCGAATGTATCCGTGCGGTGTGTGAAACCCGCGTGCCCGGTGTGCGTGGGCATGTGCCCCGTGTGTGCCGCGGCAGGTGCTGCCCCCCGTCGGCTGCCTGTAGCTGAGGCCTGTCAACAACCTCTCCTCTCCCCTTTCCCAGCCAGACACTTCCTTTTCCCTCTTTCTGGGCGTTTGTTGTAAATTCCGAAAACACGGCAGTGAGTCTGGCCCACCGACAGATGGATCACTCTTCCCCTTCCCGGGAGGGGGAACCCCAGCCAAAGCCTCGGGAGCAGGGGAGCCACCGACAGCCTTGGGACGAGCACCCCGGAGCCCAGTCAGTCCCTAAGAGAGGGCCCCCCCCACTCCATCTTCCCTGCAAGTGGGGCGGAGGTCGCGCAGCTTCCCGCGCGGCTGGAGCAGGTGCCCAGGAGGTGGTTAGCGCCCCCTCCCCAGCAGCAGCTTTCTCCCCCCGCACCTGGAGG